CATAATATGAAGTTTAGGTATACTGTAATTGAATAATTACGGATTTTGATATAATATTGAGTTTGGTATACTGTAATTGAAATATAACTGATCTAAGTATTTTTATCTATAATATTAAATTGATATATTAATATATAATTATATATAATTTAATTATATATATATATATATATATATATATATATATATATATATATATATATATATATATATATATATATATATTACTATGTTAATCAAAACAACGATTCAATTATTTAAATTAATAAAGAAAGTTTAATTTATCGAAAAATTGAATCAAAATGTAATCCAAAATTGGCAAAAGAACACCCTGTACCAGGTTGCCAATACCGTCCCAATGGTAGTGGCTCATTAATTCCTCGTTCTATATGACAATTCCTTCTTAATAACACAGTTTCAGACATTAGCGAAAGAATGTTATATAGAGGAGTTAGGATCCTTTTGAAATAATCTGCGTATGCTTTCCCCAACATGTGTAAATTCACGTTTGAAACAATATGCTATGCGTATCGGAACGACGGCCTATCGTCAGAAACAAGCATATTTTTTACAACACTTTGAACGTCTTATTCCGATGGAAAAATTTTGAACCTTCTATTTAAAACGTTCCAAACGTTTATATTGCTACAGATTTTCCGTATTTTTAATAATTTATTCAAAACAAATCTGTAACAATAATGAAGTAACAAATTAATGATTTAGTGTTTTAAAATTTAAATTATATAGTTTATGATTTTTTACAATATCTTCCTGTGTTTACATAATTATTTATAGTGAAGAAACTATGTGTAAACGCGTAAAAAACACTCTTTCAACGACAAAGACATATCGTAACTAGAGAAACAGAGAAATCGCGCTTGAGATAGCGTAAAAGGACGAAGACACCTGTAGAGGGAGATACAGAGATATCACACATGAAATAACTTGATATCAATGCATGTATAACCTGTTATTGCTTCTACTCTGTACGTTTCTGAAACGCAAAATTTTTAATATTTTAGACCAAAATTAGAATATTATTACTGAAAAGTACATTATTTCAATATTGAGAAACGTGGTCTAACATTGAATATGTGTTAAAATTATATTTTGTTATTAATTGTTATAATGGTGCATGAAATTATACATGAAATGGTAAAAATGAAGTATTTTGAAACATGTGGTCTTGGGTACAAAAATTTACCCCAACGCGTAAAATTAGGAAAAATTATATTTTGGATATAAATATTAAAAACAAGGATAAATTTAAGTATTTTAACACGATTTTAATAAAAATTGAAAAATACAACTAAAAATTGGGGTCTGAAAATTCTGGTCCAGTACGCCCGTTTTATATACTATTCGGTGACGAATGTTGGGAAGCTGCAACTTCCAATAAGAAAAAGTAAGTTTTAAGTGGGAAAGTGAGCGAGGCAGATCGGAAATTACCAGATAGGAGGCACGACAATACACGGTTGTTTGGGCGGTGCTGGGTGGAGCTGGAATACAATGCAATAGAAGAAAGTCCTGCCGAAGGGCATGAATAAATTATTTTCCTGGCTAATAATTTACTGTAATAAATGTCCAGGCAATGCCGGATACTTCAGCTAGTAGTGATAATACCAATAATAATACTATAACAGTAATAAAATAACTATTAATAAGTCTAATAGAGCCAAACGACGCATTTTAACAAGCCACTTCATGGTGTGAGACAATGTCAAAAGGTTTGGCAAAACCTGTTATTACGGTATCCACTATCAACTTCATCTGATGTATACTTAAACAATGACACTATTTTTCTTTTGCCATTTCTAAAACTATGCTGTCCCTGAAATAGCCATTCCTTTTGTTCCCATTCTTGACTAATATATAGTTATTAAATGTTTCATTAGGTTACATACAACTGACGTAAAGCTTACCGGTCTATAATTGGCTGGTCTGGTTAAAAATAAAACTCTTTTGATCTATATTTATAATATAATGTAACCGCTAGAATTAATAAGAGAAATTGCTGGTGTAGCACCTCTTGTGTGCTCTGAAATGGGTAACGAAACCAGTTCAGAGGGAAATTAATGTAGAATTTAAATTGTAATGATATTTTGTACTAGTGTGCATCTCCGAAAGACATTAATTTTTAGTCACACACTGGATTTGATTGCAATGTGACTTTGACTATACTTTAAAAGTACTTCAGACTATTACTTCTTAGAATGAAAGAAAATCGATAACACCATGTGGTATCTTGTAACTGGTGGACTAGCCCAAGCCACAAACAGTTCGAAGAGTTCAGTATACTCCAGGCCACGAAATTCCAACGATTCAGACCAACGACATTTTCCAATCGTAATTCTTCCCGCATGATTTTCATGAAGTTGGCGCCGCGCACTGACTCGAGTCATTTCCGCGTGCAATCAAATCCATTTCTTCGGCGCGCCTCTCCGCTTCCCGTCGCTGCTTGCACCGCCTCCATCGCGAATGCAATGGGGCCTGACAGCCGCGGCCCATTACCCATGCGTTACGCGCTATAGCTGCGCGCTAGTTTTCCCTGGAGGTGGGCGGTGTCGGTGGACGCGCTGCGCCGCGCCGCGCCGCTGCGTGGTGCGGCTTGGCGAGACCCCGTCCTACGCCGTCACCGCCCACGCCGCAAAGAGGCCGAAACCACTCATAGCGTCGCGTAAACCTTTTCAACTTCCATCGCTGTTTCCAGACACGTCAACGTCTATGATCACTACTCCTGCTAGCGTAGTGAATGGCTTATTTCTGGAGGTAGTCGTGTTTCCTTCCTTGCTGGATGATGGAATCTGGCGCCGACTTACATGTTGGTGTACATTGCCCCAGTCAATACAATCTCTTGGTTACCGACTGGTGAAGTAATTGTAAGCATATGTATTAGTTGAGAGGATAAGGCAAGGAAGTGAAAGCGCGCGATCATAGACCCGTTTCTTAGCGTACTCCTCCTACCTTCCCGAGATTCAGCTGTCATTGATCGGAGAACGCATGGAAAACTATCGATCAGAGCAGCTGGCCGCAAGACATCTCCTCCAGAAAGCGAATGTATTGGGCCTGTGTGTTGAAAATCTGTCACCGTTAAGACTCGAACCCTATTGTGTCCCGTTTAGAATCGCTGCAGCTTCGAATATTTATCTTATAGATGGCCGCGTGTAGTTGCATAATGATAGTTATTATGATTCAGCTACATTCATGTCATTATCATGAATCATCATGCATGTCCAGTCACACAAAAGTTTACTAATCAAGCCCCGAGAGGAAATCATGTATTGATTTATTACTTTGAATCTTATGAATTAAAAATGTTGAGATTTTCTGCAAGCAAATGGCAGTGCGCCACACCAAAAGGAAAGTGTTGAAAGTTAAAAGGGAATTAATCAAACATGAAATTAACAGCAGCGAATCTACAAATTAATAAACTCAAATGAAATATATTACTTCGTACTCGTGAAACAGGAAAGTACCCAAACCCGGTCCCGGTTGCTAATGCGTTCCCTTTGATCTGCTGCTTTGTAAAGTGCTGTTGCCTATTGAACATGTACAGAAATAATAGTTTTTTTGCAAGACTGCAACCCAGTCAAGCGGTAGTGTCTTCATCTTCTCTTGATGCTGGACAGCCGTCCATTAGTGCAAACAGTGAAAAGCAACGTTTTCTTAAAAGCTTATTTTCAGTTGGATGGTTTCGTTACTTCACCAGTAAGTCTTCTAACCATTATATTATCTTGCAGGTGACATTATAGGATATTGATGTAATTTATTTTACTTGTCTTATAAAAATGTTATTGCATTTGGAATATAAACACGCAGGTGCTTAACCCGAGCCCCCAGAAGTTCCTATCGCGGGCCGCAATTTTTCGCCTAGTAAAATAAAAAAACAATTAAGTTATTTGGCACTCATTCTTTGGATGTCTAATAAACTAGTGGTGATAAAAAGCACATTTTTCTCTCCCTTATTTTCACGCACATTTACGCGAAAAGTACTCAAATTATCGAAAAATTGTTCAAGACATCATTTCAAAATCTATCTTTGAGGAATAGTTTTAATTAAGGAAAAATCTACATCTTTAATATTTTAGTTGTAGAAAAACTCCATAAATATTTGAACCTTTGCAATTTTCGAAAAATTAGGACTTTCAACAAACATGAGACCTGCACCATTCTCCTAAACGTCTTTTTCAATATCCGGCAACAAAATTTAATCTAAACCGGAGACATTTTGTGAAAATTTTGAAAGTATTCCAGGGCCTTCATGTAAAGTCCCTCCCCCCAAATTGAGACGCTGTCGTTCTCAGACCGCCGGACACAGGGACGGAGAGTCAGAAGGACGGGCAGACGTTTTGCCGTCATTCGATTTTTCGGTATCAAGGACCAACAAAACGTAGATTCTGGCTACACCACGGGTTAGTGCAGTTTTGTTTCTAAATTTATCAACTTGATGTGTTCACGTTTTCGTTATAAGAGCCCTGTAATAATAGTTTTATGCTGAACATTCGCCGTGTTTCCGCGCAGCATTGCATCCATTTCTTTCTACTTCATAGGGAAAAGTAAATGCAAGAGGCTATTTTGAGGCATGTCAGTTCGAAATTGCAGGAAAAAGTAAGAGGTTACGAGACAATTTGTTTCGTAAAGTTTTTACCTCTTGTTTTTACGCCTTTACCTTTACAATCTTCTTTCCTCAAGTATTTACAAGAAATATGGACTGAATATTGACAAAGGAAGAGAGTTTGCTCAATTTGTATGTCATATTGTTGTTATCGAACTGGCAACATCAATGTTTAAGTTGTTTCTGGGTTCAAGTTTTTTCAAATAGTTTTTTTTGTTTCCTGTTTTCATAGTTTAGATGAAAATCTCATTTTGACTTCTTTTATGACTCATTACATACTTGAAGGGAATGTCATAGATATTTTCATATGCACTTGTATTTCACAGTGTTTCACTTGCGTACGTACAAAATATTTGTGAATTAATGCACAAATATTTTGCAGATGTCAATACCAAAATATAAAAGAGACGTTAGAATATTCTATTTTCCAATCGTTAAATCTAGTTTTGAGAGCGGATCTCGTTTCGCCCGCCCCCGGGAGCATTTGGAGGCACTGCGGGCCGTCGGGCCCCGTCCCCGGGCGCCCACTTGAGTGCGTGGGAACACGGCCGCGAGAGGGTTGTGAAGCGGAGGAGTGCAGCTGAGCGGGGGAAGCGGCAGGTGGCAGCTGGGGAGATCGCACCACGTACTCCCAGTGGTGGTGGACGACGCAACGACGCGGGGACACAGTATCCCTGTGCACACAGGCCCGGTGTGGCCCAAAGGCGAGGTGAAGGTAGGGCTCCATATTTGGCGCCAGCGCCACAAGGAGGGGTGTGTGTGGTGAGCACAAAGCTCTGGCCGTCTTTACTCTCAGGAAAGACCCTGGTACTCTGTTGGAAAGGGGGCTTAGTCGGCCTGAATAGAAATCACTTGATGAAAGTCCCAACCTTCGCCAGGATCCGAACCTGGGTACTGTGGATAAGAGAGTCAGAGCCTTACCACTGAGCCACCCGGGGTTCCAGTATTTTAAAGGTACGTTTCTTCTGATCCTGCAAAAAGCAAAAATCAAGACATTAAACATACCCATCACAAAAGTATTGGTATGATATTCACTTAAGATCCTTAGAGTAAAATTTGTAGTCGAAGATCATTTTCATAAGTTTTTCTTATTAGTTTTGGACAATTTCATCACATCTGTCTCTTCGGCCTGAAGGCACAAAACTTAATTTAGGTGTTAATATTGCTAACTCTTTTTGTTAGGAGTTAGTATTGCTTTACAGAAACATTATTTCCAATTAAGTTAGTTGCAGAACTTTAACGTAAAGTTCCCTTCACAAGAATCGTCGGGTGATCTTCCCAACTGTCCAGACAAACTTGGATACTTTTCGATACGAGGGAGGGGCGCGTTGAGCAATCGCCCCAATCAGAACCTTAGTGCCTATGTGATTGCGGCGGGGACCTCGATTGTTTACGTTTGAGGCGAGAATACCGTCAGCTTTCGTTGCCAGAGGAGAGATTTTGCCTGCGCGTTCACCGAAACAATTTTGTGACGTGACGAAAAAAATATTTCTGGGCGGGGGTTTTCCGTTCATTCAATAGATTAGTAAATATTTAGAATTTTAGCAAGAATTATACTAACGTTTAGCAATCAATTTGTAACTCCGTGAAATTGCTATTGCAATGAGTAGTAAAGACCCATCACACAGCGCGACTCTTGCGTCACGCTCTATTAACAGATTTCGAGGCGAAGAGCGTCGTTGACTCAATTCGGCACGCGCAGCTGCGTGTGCGCCGCAAACCCAGTATTTCCCAGCGAGCGTCCGCCCCCGAAATGTAACCCTTCCATCTTTGTGTTTAGTAGTAGGTGACTGACTACGGGAACTGTCACATTAAGAGGCGACAGTAGCCCACCAGAAATTCCTACATGACAATAAATCACGAAGCTCCGTAGAAGACTAGTCTATGGAAAGCTTCGCGCTAAGCACGTGATAGGACGGGCATTTTGCGAGAGGGGTAGGGACGGGAATCGGGTGAGCGAACGGCGCTAAAAAGATTGAGAATTGGAGAAAGACGGTTGGAGCGAGCGATCGACGATTAAAGAGAGTTCTTCCTGTTCAACGGCGACTACAGCCACACGAAAACGATCGCTAGTCTCCAGGTCCTTCCAGCCTCGGAATTTATTCCGTATGCCGAGCTAGGACAGTAGGAGTAACACCCATAAACTACACGAGAGGGTGTGCAGCACAATTATTCGGCTGCCAATGATAATACGCGGTCCAGGCGACGTATGACGACCTGAGACCCACGCATCAAAAAACTGATGCTTCAATTCCGCGGACGACCGTGGACGATCTCCAGCTCAGCCAGGCGTCGTGTTCCTGCCTACTACAGGAGACTTCCATGGTACTTCAACGGATCATCTGCTGCCGACGGCCGATATTTGGACGTGTAATCCTTTCGAAGTGAGGTAGCAGAATTTCAATTAATCACCATTCCTGGAAGTGTTCAGCCCATTTTAGTCAATAACCAGAGCAAACCACTAGAAGGAATAGTAATGTAAAAGAGACAATTTTCGATAGCAATAAACGCGTCCCCGTCATTTTGGTCGGGTGATCACACAAAAAAGTGTATTATTTATAGCCAGTAAGCAAATGCAATCCTTCGACCCAAAGTGCCCATTCCTAATGATGTCTCAAAGCCGGTGCCAAGATTACAGGTAAGGCATAAGCTTGGCGCACACACAAATTAATTCAGCGCATGCATCCCGTGTCTGGAAACGTCCGTCACACCTTATGTGGGATAGCAACGCTCCCTCTATAATAGCGTGACTCACAGCGGCCCATTACACGAATAATTGCACTGTGTGGTCCATTACACTATATAAATACATTTTTTATCTTGCTTTAATTTGCGGAGCCTTTCCGGCAATTCTCTTATGCATAATTGTTAATTCGCTGATTTCGGCTCGGGGACATCAGGAGACTTAACCCTCTTTAGATCTTCAAAAGTTGGAAATTGTACACAAATTTGCATATGTATTTTTATTGTCTAATCAATATCACATTTAATACAAAATTCCGCAATCCGATCGATGCTAATAACTTCCGTTCTCGAGATATTTACATGTTCATTAGAACTTAGCAACTTATAATCACCCTCATTTTCGTACTCATTCCATTCGCTCACCGGACACAAGTAAACTAAACACAGAGGTTTGCAGTGTCTCGCTTCGATTGTTCGCTTCATGCCCAGGGTAGAGGTGATATCGCGGGATCGGTAGCGACTCGAGGCGATAAACTATGCCTAGGAGCGAAAAGATTGTCTATTTCCTCTTTGATCTATTTCCTTGCCTAGATGTCGATCTGGGCGGATCGTAGCGACAATAGCCAATCGCCGTCCAGTTATCAGATAAGCCCCTTTAGGGGCGAGACTGATCGGTCAGTGGACTAGTGTTGTGATGCAAACAGTGCAGTGCTGTGAAAGTTTATTTATCTGAGCTCTTCAAAAACAGTTTCCGCGACAGTTTCAACGCACCTGCGGTGACGTGCCCTCGTGGGCTTCCAACAGTGGGAAATATATTCTGTCGACCCCCCTTACGCAATAACTTCCACGCAATTGCCTGGTGGGGACCTCGCTCTTGCGAGCAAGTAATATCACAGGGCAGTGGGATCTTTTGGGGTGTTGAGAGCCAATCCAATAACAAGAACACATAAGTCAGTTAAACTAGGTTTAATGATCTCAAAACCCCACTTAGTCTCTTACAAAAATCACACGAAGAAATACAAAAATCTGTGAAACTGAAAAATTTAATCACCAAAATAATCGCTCTAATAACCACTGGGAATTCCCTTTGTAACTCAGCTTAACTAAGTCTGTTACTATTCCTATTTATATTAAACATGAATAAAATTTACAATTTAATATTCCTCTTCAAATAATGTTACATACAAACAATGAGTGCAAATGCATCACTTTACACTTTCGCTGTGGCTGCGAACAACAAAATTAAAATGATCTATTTACAATATTTGCAGGAAATAGTGCTTTAAAATGGCTAGTATCTTAAATTAAACCCAGTTGCTTCCCATGTCCTTAATTCCCTCGCACTTTCCTTCTAACAAGTCGACGTGGCTTTGACCTAATTATTGCGACGCTTACGCACCGTTTCCTCCCTCCGTTCTTCTCTGGACTCCGATGCCTGACCTTGACGCGCGCAGGCCTCTGCATCGACGCCGTTCGCCCCGCCGCGTTGCCAGTCATGGGACTCTGGTCGACGGCGACTGCTTGCTGCCCTCTCGCGTCCTCTTCCGGTCTTGTGCTCCCGGCTCCGTCCTCTGTTCTGCGTCGACCTCACCCAGCGCCTCTTATTACGTCCGCGTGCGAATGTGTCTCGCACCGCACTGGATACTCGTGCGTAATTCGTTCGTACAGATCTCTCGCTCGCACGGTTCCAGATTTCGTCGCTGGTTGCACTTTACTAGACCTCAGCTCGTATTACTTCCCTAATAACGGGTAGATTCATTCCCCGCGTCTTTGTCCGAAGAAGCACTTTCTTCCAGAAAACTACAAAATGTCTCGAACAGCTAACTAGGCGTCTGTCCGACGTCCAACACACATATCTACTAAGCGAAGTTGTTGTTGCGGCGGACAATAGCAAATGCGAGTGCTGCTAAATTGGCGAGCGGGAACGAAAAAAGCGTGACTGCTCCTGGGTTCGTGTATTTATAAACGCGCCCTCCGATGTAGGGGTAACGCGGCGTCTCCCCTTCTCCGGCTGATTCCATCTCATTTGCCTGCGCCGTGCGGCGGATACAGCGGGCAACCGTATCCCTTTTCGAACTGCGCCGCGCCGCGCTTGCTCACCCGTTCTGCCACAGGCGTTCTTATGACGTGTGAGCATGTGGGACAAACATAGTCAAACGCGTTCGTCACAATATACAGTAAAAGTGAGTGACTCGTAAAGCATAACGTAAATTCAACGCCAGATCATAGAAACATCAACAAATGCCGAGTTCCCCTCTTTACCAGAAGCAGTGTCAGCCTTGGAGTCTCTAAACAACTATTATGCGTATATGCCGCATCATCTACATTTTCCGGGGACCCACCAACAACAGATGTACATCTAGCCAGCCAATCTACCAAGATATCGCCCAGCAGACGTCACTGCAAATGGAAGGTTCACAACCAACAATGAAGATAAGTAGCGTGCATGAGCCTTCGCTAAAGAAGCCAACAATACAGCACCAAGATATGCGCCATGCGTGTAACCTATCTCAAAACAACCAGCTCCCTTCTCCCGGCACTTTACAAACTTATAACATTCCAACAGGCAACAGAGTTTACACCTTACATCTAATCCCGATGTAGCCTAAACAGTTTCCAGTAATCCATCTCATTCAGAAGAATTAATAATACCCCCAATACGTATCCATGATTCACCAGTGCATGCAGAACTGCTAGAAAAAATAAACGATCTTCTCGAACATTCAAATATCAACACAAGAGTCAGAGGACCGTATACAGAAGTTAAGATAAACACAATAATAATAATAATAATAATAGTAATAATAATTGTAATAATAATAATAATAATAATAATAATAATAATAATAATAATAATAATATGCCTTTATTAATATGGCGAGGCTCAAGCCATCAGGCCCGCTCTTCCGCCTAACCACATGTCACAAATATACAGAGTAATGTCGTAAAAGTAATGTAGTAATAGTAAAAGTACTAAACAGTAATGTTATCTAAATATTTAAATGTAATGTAATCTACAAGTTACTACTAATCTACTTTTACTAACATTTCTTTCGTATTAGTAGGGAGACATTTGTCGATATATCTAAGGGATTGCAAAGAAGCATAAACTTTGCGACAGACATTTCGGATCTGATATTCCCAACTTAGATGATCATCAAGTATTAAACCCTAGTTTTTGACTCGTGTATGACGAGGTACTACAACATTGTCTATAAGCACATCAAGAACATATGAACCTTCAAGTTTCTTATGCATTTGAGAAGAGCCAATTATGATGTTTTGT